GCTGCTACCCCATAGATTCTGAGCAGGAGGCCTTTGAGGCCCCCACATGTGCTAGAGACCTGGGGGGTTCTGGAACTATTACCCGGCGGAGCCAGAGCCAGGGGCCTTCACCCACATGTGCTGGAGGCCTGGGGGATAGAAGCCATAATTGGCAGGGCTAAGAGAACTTTGTAACACTGACCTAAAGTTGCAAAGCTGAAGGTCTAAGGTCCTGTGTGCATTTCAAAGAAGTTATTTTGACTGAAGAATTGTATCCTGTTGCCAATCTTAATTGTAGTTGGTTAACTTCCCAGTTAAACTCCATAAACATGTACATGGTTCTATGTGATCTTTACAATGAACGCCCGGTCCAGTGAGAGCCCCGAGAGGGGTGACTGGCGTTGAGAAGTGGTAAATGTAGATGCAGGAAAATGGGGGACAGGCCTGGCCTCTTAGGAACTGTTTTGAGCTGTGGATGTTGTGCACAGGCACTGTTTCCTTGCGGTTAGTGGAGGTCAGACTTGGCCCGTTCCAATCTTTTCACATGCGTGGACTTGCCAGCATCTGTGTGACTCACCACCAGAGCCCCTCCTGGGAGAGGGGAGGGCCAGCTCCCACCTATCCTGGACCCCTACACAGGCTCTATCCTCATCTGTCCCCACCTCAGCTTAGCAGCGGCAGGGCATGAAAACCAACCTTACCATGCTATGGCTTCCCAACCATCTGCTCTGCTGCCAGCTCCTGGGTTGGCACCTCCTCTCTTTTCCATTTTAGTAGGATACCTGGACTGGGCCTTGTGACACTGCAAGCTCAGGACTCGGCGTCGTCTGCCTGGTTTGTGACTAAGCTCAGCATCTCCAGGGGTGTGCAGATGCTCAGGGCATTGCATGTCGGGAAGGAAGGATCCAGGGCAGCTTTCTGTTGACGCCCAACCCCCACCTCCTCCTTCACTGCACAGACAGGTAGACAGCAGGCTCTCCTCCTGCCAGGCCGCTGAGCTGGGCTGAGTGCATGACAAGGCCTGGGCTCAGGACCTAGTCCCACAGGGTCACAGCTGGGTGGGAAGAGCAGAGCAGGCAGGTGGGTCCACTTTGCGGGAGGGCTAGGAGCTCAGAGGCCAGGGTAGAGGTTCCCACCCAGGATTTACCGCCCAAGGAAGGGGAGGTAATGGATGGCACTTTTCTTCTGGCCTGTGCCATTTCCTATTTAAGACTGCCAGACAATGGGAAGCCTTTCACAGGCTGCCCTCAGCTGGCCATCCAGGGAATCACAGCTGCCCGCCACCAAAGGACAATCTTGACTGGGCCTAATAAACTCATGAAACTCCACGGCTGAATTTACTGATAAAACCAAGCCACAGAAAAGAGGGCAGAACCTAACCTTGAGACAGAGTCACCTTTTTTGTTATACACTTGGGACTTAGGAGACCAATGTGTTACAGAGCAGAGCTGGCTTTTGATTCTGGGCTTGACCTGGTCCAAAGGCTGTTCTCTTTCTCCGATGAGTCCCTTCTGTGCTCATGTCTCTTGAGTTGAAAGTGCAGATATGAATCTGGTCTCATTTTATCTGCTGTCAACCAGCTCTGTCATTCCCTCCACTGCAGGTAACTGGTCTGCTTGAACACCTGCAATGGTGAACGTATTACTTCACATCAGCCAGAATGAACTGCTGCTGACAGTGTTGTAGGAAGGAAAGTGGTGACGGCCTTTGAGCAGAGCCTAGAGCTTGGCTGGGGCTGCTCCCCCTGCTAAGCCTGGGGCACAGGGAAGGAGCCCAAGCTCTAATCCTGTAGGGCGGACTGCAGGGTCCTGCCTGGGCCAGCAGATGCCAGGAGCCTTTCTGGGATCCCTGGAGGGGGTATGCTGGGAGGCACAGCCCTGAGGTTGGCGTTAACAGACAGCTGAGGAGCTAGCTCAAGATAGTGACACGTGCAATCCCATTACTAAGAGAGTCAAGACCATTCTGTCCATTTTGTTTTATTTGTTAAATTGCTAAAAAGTCATCAGGGGAAAACATTAACAAAAGATGAAATTGACACAGATTTAAATATTAATGAATTCCACTTTTCATTCCTACACTGTTATGTGCCTAAAATGACTACCTCAGGGGAAGCCACGTGGGGCCCCTGAGCTGTATGGAAACATCACTCACAGCACCAGCTTTGCCAGCCCGATGGGTATGACTGGCATGAACCCTGGTTGGTGGGAGGGGGGCAGAGTGAGTAGGAGAGGGGACAGGTGCGTCTCATTTGACAATGGACCTGGTGAGAGGGAGCCACTTACTGGTGACCATGCAGAACATGCCTTCTGCAGTCCAGGGGGAGGCCACATGACATAGGACTCAAAGCTTGGCCTCCTTGGCCCTTGTGTGCACTTAGATCCTCCCCACTGACCCGTGCACTGGTAAGAGACCACAAACATTGCGAAGCAGAGCACACCACCAAGCCAGAATCACCACAAGGATGAAGACGGGCAGACAAGCCAACCAGGACAGCACTCCTCAGGGGAAGGGAGCACGGAAGCAAAGCCCCAGCCGTCCCCGGGCAGCTCTCTGTCCTCAGAGGTCAAGGCTTCTTCAGGCGCTTTCTTTCTCCTCTCCTTTGGAGAACAGAGTTCCAGCACAGTTCCTAGGGCAGTTCATGGTTTCAGCTCTTGCTATAAAACTCAAACATTAAAATCAAATCAATCCACAGACTTAGCTAGAAGGAGAGAAAGCTCAGTATTGCCTTAGAACAGAATGAATTCATGCTCCAACACCTAATCTGTGCTCCCATAGGGTGAGGACAGGACGGGCTTGTGGAGCTCACCAGCCAAGCGGAAGTAGGGTGGAGACACATAACCACAGCACAGAACCGTCTCTGCTGCACCAGCGGTGAGATGGGCAAGCAGTGGGCTCTGCCAGGAGGGAGGGACAGACGATTCGCACACGAGGTCAACAAGGTGGTCGGTGGCATCAACGCGACGTGGGGGCTCTCAAAGGCACACTTGCAGGAATGGAAGGGGGGGTGTTAAAGCTTCAAGTAGAAACAAAATGTACTTTAAATACTTAAATACTGATAAATACTTGATTTAGGTGCTCCTGAGGGTGTAAAAAAAATATTTTGTCTCATTTTTCTCAGCGGCTTTTAAGACAAAATCGGTGTCATGTTGAAAACGGAGTTGCAGTTAAATTAGATCTTACAAAGCTCCCCGCAGCCCTGTGGGGTGCTGACCTCAGCTGAGACACCCAACGTTCCAGGTGAGCGCGGCCTCACGAGGGCCTGAGAAGACCTTGGCCTTGATGGTGCTGCCGTGCTGTCCTCGGGGACATGCCCAGGGTTCCCAGGAGCCATCAAGACCAACACTACCAGGTGCAGACAAGGCAGTTTTCTGAGAGCTGTAAACGGACAGTTTGGTTCCCAGTGGTGTGGGTGATACTGGAACGCCCAAGAGTTCAGAGGAACTGGGCTACTTTCTAAGAGAATCCTCGTTTCCACTGCCTGCCTACATGGGGACAGAGGCCAGGGGTACAGCTGGCTTAGGAAGGCCACGGGAAAAAGGGAAAGACTGCGTACAAAGGTGAGATTCTGAACTTTTAGGATTCCAAACACTTTGTGAAAGGAAATGAGTTTGGAGGCATTGTCCATGAACAAGGCTCAGAATAGAAGTTACATCTCAATTGCTAATCTTCTGGTAGACACTGCTCTTCTCAATTAGGACTCCACATGATCTAACAGTCTTTGCCAAAGGAGGACTGGCAACAGCCCCAAAGCAGAGAGTCTGGAAAATGAAGTGCTCAGCTTCAAGCAGCTGGACACCAGAGTCAGCACGCGGCTGTTTCCTCATTTAAGGGGGCACAGAAGAGTTTCTGGGACACAGACCCCTTCCTGGGAGCCGGCCCTTTCCTGGGCTTGGTGCCACGGGGGCTTTCCCACCAAGATCACACTATATAAGCTGATGGTTCAGGGAAAGGATTCAACATGATGTCACAGGAGAAAACACAGTTATTAGACATACTGCCAAGCTGGCTGGAAGCCAGGTTCCAGGGCCAGCTGAAGCAGGCCTGTGCTTGGGAAATGCTAACGGGAGAAAAGGGGGTGGGAAAAGCAATGTTTGGAAAATGAAATTCAAATTCTAAACACAAAATAAAAATCCTTTTTTCCACTGATGAGAAATCACCAAAAAGACATACGGAAGTGATGGCATTTGAAACAGACTTGTTCTGGTGTTTCTTATGTCCAGGGCGTAGTTTCAAGACTGGTAACTTGTAATTTCCTAAATCACCCAAAGAAGTGCTCTGTTTGCACAAACCTTATCTCTGAATGAAGAGAAAGTGAAAGCCCAGGCCCTGTCTGGGTGACACAGGAACCGATACAAACACAGTTGGAAGGAGCTGCTCTCGAGAGCAACCACATGTCATGGAGGTCAGGTACACGATACTCGGCCCAATCACTGGTCCAACAGTCAGGCAGAAAATGCATTTCACAACAAGGGTGAAGTAGTTTCTGGAAAGAAGGGGTTATTGGAATTCCCTTCCAGGATCACTTCCATGTTCTACAAATATGGATGTGCGTGCCCAATGTGTTGGGAAGCAAAAAGTCCACAGGGAACTGCTGAGCCTTTTGGTGCTTCAGAATCTCTCATGATATCAGTATCCTGGAATTCTGCCTACTGGTTTCTTAGTAACTCCAAGAAGATTTCCAGTAATATTTTGAAGAAGTGTCTTATTTCTGTAGGTACAAAGGCTTTGCAAAGGAAACAATGAAAAAGGTTTTAGGGCTTAAAACGTCTTCACATATGGTGGGGGAAGGTGGGGGAAGGTGGGAAAGCTTTCAACTTAAAAAGGCCAAGTTTTTAGGAACAAAAAGGAAGAACAAATGTTGGGGTTTGGCAACTTGCAACCAAGTAAGATTGTCAGAAAATTCTACAATCAGATACCAAATGTTTTCTGAGACACACAGGGAGCATTCAAGAGACTAGCAGACTAGTAGACAAGTGTCAGATGCATAAACATTGCTTCACTATGATCCTGGCACGTAAGTGTGGAACCAAATCCTCACTGGGGAACTTTCTTCATTCAAAAAGGGCAGAAGGGGGCCAGACGTAGGACAGTACCTCAAAGAGAGAGCTGCTTTCACAGGTCTCCTGTGACTTTCAGAAGAGAGTGGGAGGAACAGCTTGTTATAGGCTACTCTTACCGTGCCAGCACCTGAAGTGGTGAACCTGAAAACCTCCACTTTTAGACCTTACAACACGCCCTTTCTTTTTCTAACTCTGAAAAGGCCACAGAAAGATTTACAGGGACACTTCAGTTTCTTTTGGAAAGTTACTGATACTACTTAGTCTGTTCCCTAAATTCTTGGTCTAGTTACCAGCAAAGTAGAAAAAGGCAGCACAGCCTCTGCTAAAACACAGCAACAAGTTTATCTGAACCAGGATGGAGATCTCTCCCCTTTTGTAAACAGAGTTGGCTATAGTATATATATTTATATATATATATATATTTATATTTTTTCTTCTTCTTCTTAATGGAGATTTGGTCCCAGCCTGAAGTGAGTTAGGCTGGGAACTGGAGTTTTGGTTTATGGGAATAGTTTTGTTCTTTGTTTTCCCAATTCTCAGTCCAAATGCTTGCCCACTGGAAAATTGCAAATTAAAAGCCACAGAAAGGGAAAGGAGTTTAGAGCATATTATCTCTTTGCTCGCACAAAATACAAGGCGTTTGTTTTTGGATAGTATTTCACATTCTGTTTCTTGTCCATTAGCCCTCCGAATATGATGAGTTCGCCCCTGCCTTGCACCACTGTGTGCAGGCTGGTTTCAGGAGGTCCGACCACAGAACTGCTATTAAATACTTTCCATTTGACTCGTCCCTTCTCCTTGGTGTCTTTAATGTCCAGCACATACATCTGCATGGGCTTGCAGTTCATACTCTGGTAGAGGGGTTTGCCAACGTTGAGGGACTGTGGAGGGTGGTGGCCCAAGCGGCGGGCAATGGGAGGTAAGGAATGTCCATCCCCTTGAGCAGGCCCTGGGCGGGGGACTGGCACTGTCTCTCCACTGCTCAGGCTCTGGCTCCCCGGGGAGCCTGGAGAAGACCCCAGTGGAGGGCTTAGTGCCACAGAGGCTGAGGGGCCTTTGGATGGCATTCCTTTGATGGCTTCCAGACTCCGACGCAGGGCACCTGGGGAGACTGCCCCTGCAAGGGCAGTGGCCACGTGGGGTGGGGTATGCACACCATTTGTCTGTTCAGGAGGGTGTCTTGCACTTGCCCCAACTGTCCTGCTGTCCACACCATCCATATGATTGCTACTGGATGTGGGTTTGAGATCCCAATTCAGATCTATTGATCCTAACCTCAGATCTTTCTGATCTGGGAGTGATCCTCGTCGGGGGGCCACAGAAAGTCCTATTTTTAGGTCATATCCTTCAGAGGCAGAAGGAGTGCTTGGAGATATGGCCTGCACAGGGCTGTCCAAGGAGGAGCCACCTACTGCTGCCGTTCCTGGAGATAAACTTCCACCATTGAGGATAGGAGAGCCATCTCCTCTGGCTGGGGAAAGACTTCCTTCCCGGGAACCTGAGGGAGTCTGCCGTGGAGCCCTGGGTCTCAGTGTTCCCCAGCGACCATTAACACAAGGAGCTTCATCCATGCTTCTTACTGGAGACTGGGAACGGTACTCTCGGGTTTCGGGAACCAAGGCTGGTGGGGTGGCACTGATAGGTGATGGGCGGGAGTTCAGACTCGGGCTCAGTGGGGCTCTTCCACTAGGAGCTTGGCTGAAGACCACTACACACTGCCCCACCTGGAAGACAAACAGTATGTGCTCATGGACTCTTGGACCACTGGGATTACTCATTCAACACCAAACATTTTACAATGAATATCAACAACGTGCCAGATGGGTGCTTGAGAAACAGAGATGAAAATGAGAAGGCTAGAAGGGAAGGCAGACATGCAAATACTTGTCACTTCAGTGTGATGGCACATGCTATTTTTTGTTATGGTCATGAATAGGTATAAAATGTGGGGTAGAATTTATGACACTTCGGTTAAGTTTTATAGACTAAAAATGCTTGAAGTTGGGGCTTAAAGGATGAATGGGACCTACACCAATTATCCAATGGAGTTCATATATGAAAGAAATTACAAAGGAGCTATGGCTTATATCCACCTTCCCCCCTGTACCATTGTGGGTTATATCTGTATAGAAATTTCCTTTGTAATTTGACAAATTAATTTGGTTTTACAGTTTGAGACTTCTCCTGCTAGCCTGTTAAATCCCTGCTTACCCGGCAGGCTGGGTGACACCACAGTTCCGGGGCCCCATGATCTTCATTTTCGACCTTGAGTGGCTGCCAGGCCCAGGGACCTGGGTGCATGTGCAGCAGCCAGGCATCCTTGAACAGCTGTAGAAGGACCAACAGTAAGACTCAATCAAATGTGGTACACGTTACACACACACACACACACACACACACACACACACACACACAGAGAGCTGTTTGGCCTAGGAAGCATGTGGGCACTTTGGAAAGAAGAGCAAACCCTTCATTCAGTTGAGTATCACCCATTCATGCCTTTATTCCAAACCCTTCATTCAGTTGAGTATCACCCATTCATGCCTTTATTCCCTTATCACTAAACTGATTCACCCACGAAACAATCGTAAATGGTTTCAAATCATGCCCACAGTGCTGTGTGTGCGTGCGTGCATCCTTGGAGGTGGAGGAGAGGGCAGATAACTCATGTCTCTAACCTTCTGAATAGGTATTATAGTTCATGTGGACTCTGGTAGTTCTCAACCTGCTTTTCTGCTCCATCTCTTTGAAAAAAATTACAGCAGCAAGCCTCACAGCCGAAGGAGAAGGTAGGGACAGATATGAATATTCAAGAGATATATGGCTCAAAGTATTCCTTTCTTCCTCCCAAAAAGCCTAGTTCTACAGTTTGAGACCTCTTATAGTTTGAGAAAAAGGCAGAAAAGGCATTCTCTAAATAAAATGCCACAGAAATGGTCTTGGACGTATAACATGAAATAGAAGCAAATTTTGAACAACAGCATGTACAGAAATGTAATGTCACATAAGTAATACTCACAGCATTGGGACCACCACATCCTCCAAGGATTAAGATAGTGGAGTCATCTATGACAATCTGGGAAGAGGAAGAAGTTTACAATAAACCTACAAAGCATACAAAGATATAGGACTTCCTATGCTTTAACAATACATGAAAACGGGCTACCCAGTTCCCAAATGAGAGAATTCTAGTTCTCACAAGCTCTTCTTTCTCCCTAAATCTGGTGAATTTTGATTAGAGTGAACAAATTAGTGATGATTTATCTGAATGGATATATTTTTTGTTGATCAAATAGTAACATGTCAACTATAAAATGCAGTGTTCTCTTGAGAAATGAAATTGCAAAGTAAAGGTTTTAAGAAGTCACAAAATCTAAACTTGATACAAAGAACTATAACTCATTCGAAAAGGAAAAATAAACACCAACAAAAAAGAATAATATGTTTTCTTTGGTTTAGTGCCTGCTGGCATCTTCCCTAGCCCCTCCTCCCTCTCCTGTCGTAACTGAAAGATGCTAGTGTATTTGCAGAATAGTTATTTTAATTCCTGAGCACCTGAGATTGGCCACCTCGAGGATGAGGACTGGGGCCAGAGATGTTCGGTTTGGACCACGCCCACTGCTCAAGGTCCAGGACCCATACATCGTTGCTCCTGTGAAGTAAGGACAGAGGATGAAAACGGTGGGAGGTCCTGAGGACCACAACAGTAGGAAAGTCACGCAAGCCTGTGCTCAGCTGGTAAACCTGCACCATTTTCACTTTCACACGGAATGTCTGTGTTGAAGAGAATTTAAAGACGATTCATTGAACTGGCAGAGTTAGGGGCTTCCAAACCAGAAAGACTGTGGAATGTCAACTCTGTAACCTTGAGCAAGTCACTTAATTTAATTGAACTCTGATTTCCTAAATTATAAAATGAAAATACATTTATTACCCTAAAGGGGTGCTGCTGTCACTGACTAAATTGTGTTTCCCCAAAATATACATCAGTTTATCAAGGCCATAATTTAAAATATTTCATAGTTGCTCTCCATTTTGTGACTTGCTGTAATTATCCTCTATGTTGTGGTATTTGGCAGGTGGTTCGAATCCTCCAGCTGGTTCAAGGTAGAATTATGGGCACTCTCCTTTCATCTGATTTACTGCCTCTGAAAACAAACTGGAGTGTCATCTATGAGTTAGTTCTGACTCACTGCACAAAACAACAACAAAAACATGTTGATGAAGCAGCATTAGGGTGGGGTGGAATGTGTGGATTCAGAGTTAGTCTTACAAGAGAGCCTGACTAAAGTTTTACCCTTACTCAAGTCATACTCATTGTTGAGTCTAACTTTTTTCTCTTATAAGAGATAAAAAGAAAGAAAATTGAACAGAGAGATGGGACCTAATTGCCACCAAGAAAGAAGAGCTCAAAGAGTATCATGTTCTTTGGACCTAGTCTCCCTGTACTGAGAAACCCATAGACTCATGAGATTCCACTTATGATACCTGGCAAGGAGCCATGATCCTAGTTAATACTGAACCTATTTCCCCCTCCTCTCCTTCCCCTAGAACCCTCCCTGACACTCAAACTTTCTTCTTTCCCATGAGCTGATATCCCATTTAAGCCATGTTTATAGCTATACATAAGTATCAAAACTAAAAGAATTATCTAGAGATACCTACCAGGAACTAGCTATTGGTTAAGCTAGTTTTTTAAAATCCAAAACTATAAAGAAAAGAGAAAAATGGCTCAAAAGGCAACTCTGTCAATGTCTAGGAGTTATAAGGAGCTAGCAATTCTAGCTACAAGAAATAAATCTTGTAGTGGCCAATGAATGCTACAGTTTTACCAAGGATAAACTGGCATTTCCAATCCTCAAGGGACCAGTGTGGCAAGGAGAAACTCCTGGACAACAGTCACTAACTTATTGTCATACTCTCACACAGAATATAGGAACAATACTCCAGTACAAGTTCTAAGCCTTCTCATCTGCAAGTAGCTCCCCCCCCCTTTACAACCACTTTAAAAGATGACGATGAAGCATATTCTGTCTATGAGGGGACAGAATTGGATATGGAACAGCTTTGATGATAGCTCATCAACTTCTCCTTCAAAGCACAGGGGAGATAACGGAATGATGCTACTGGTGAATCAGAGAAATTGTGATCCACATGGATTGCTCTGGCTCCTGACTCTGGCCTGAACTGGCTAGTCACAGCCAGAGGTGGAGAGGTGAGCCTCACAGAAGGGTGTTGCACCTGACAGAGGGTCTTGACCACACCATCTGGCCTCTCATCCTGGAGAATCCACAATATTTTCCCATTACCTGCCCCTCTCAGAGCCCGAGCTGGGTATGACAGTACGGCACACAAGAGCCACCTGCTTTTTGAAAGGAGGGGGTCATTTTAGGTATAGGTAGTAGAAGGCAGGTAGGGGTATCATCAAAATTTGAACCTACTGAACAGAATGATAGATTCAACAAAAAGAGATCCCACATAGCCTTAATTTAATAGAGCGAGTTTTTCATTTTATTGCTGTTTGTGACTCAGGACTACTGACTCTAGCTGCTGAGACTGAAATGGGGCAAAACAAATATACTTACATTTGCCGGGATCCTAAGGAGCCACCAAAGACAATCATTTTATCGTCGATCACACAGGAAGAGTGGCCAGCCATGGGAGGCGGCCCATGGGTTGTCACAATGCAGTTCCACCTAATGTAAACAAAACCCAACAACAATAACATAAAACCAAGTAGAAAGCAAGAAGTCTGCATCATCTCTTTTTGGTCTTCCATATTCCAAGTAGAAAACAGTAAATAGGCATCCACTTAAAGTGGCAATCCTACGCCAAGATGAACAATCTCCTCCCGTGCGATTTACTCCGTCTGCTAACCTGCTGGAGGGTCAGCTATTAGTCAGTGCCAACTTGGTGGTACACAGCAACAAGCACCTTCAGTAGAGTTATTAGGAGGACAGTAACTGGAGTAGAGAATTGCACAAGTGGTGAGTGATGCTATTATGGCTTTGGGTCGTTTCAGCCGAGTTTCCTGAAGTGGGATGAGAGTGCACCATGTGCACCTTCTCTCATTTACTAGTCCTGATCAGAGCAGTAGCTGCCAAGAGCCGTGTCCTGAGTTCTACAGGGAACAAGGGATGCAGTCATTTAGAAAAGAAATTTTAAGAACAGTCAGGAGTCAGTCTTGGGGACAGAGCAGGGAGCAAGGAATCATCTGGAGCCAGAGCAATCCTGGGAAACTGGCAGCTAAAGCTGAAGGGCTTCCTGTTCTTCAATTGGCTCATTCATTTTTTCCTTCAGCTCTCTTCAACTTATTCTTTAAGGGTGATACATATATATAATCATATACAAACTTCCCCCTACCCTGGCCCCCAGAAAAGAGATCACAGTTATTTTATTCCAGGTTTAAAAAAATCCTACTATTGTGGCTTACCAGTTTTTAGAGGGTGAGTAAGTGTGTATTTCATCAAAGAATCTCTCTGGTTGGTGTAAGGGATAAGGGCTTGGCCGTGTCCAGCCACCAAACAGCACCAGCAAGTCCTTGTATACGACCAGAGTCGCTCCAGCTTTGGGGGAAGGATAGGACCCTGGAAGAAGTCAATAAACACCATAATTAGGATTCAGAGTCTCACAACAAGCTAGGTGGGCTGCCGAAGGTCCAGTCTTCCTCTGGAAAAGTGACAAATGGGAACTAATATTCAAGTCTGGAGGAAAAGCATTACCAATTTGTTCACAGTTTAGAACAAAGCAAGCCTCTTTCAGGCCTGAGTCCCCTGAAATTGGAGATGAACCTTACACAATGACTCAAAGCACCTAACACAGTGCTCAAGAAATAACTCCCACTGACTATTCCTTTAATAAGCTTGACAGAAGTCACAAGAAAGACAGAGATCCAGCTATGAGAATGTATAAAGGCTAGATACCTAGATGTGATGTTAAAAATAACTGCTGCTACTACAGACACAAAAAAGAGGCAGCATGAAATCGTCCCTTGTCCAATGAGTCAGTGTTAATTAATACAGTGACCTCTAGGATCACACAGTCAAGACAGCCTCAGATCAGGGCAAAGAGAGACACTCTGAAGGCCCAAGATGAAGGAATTCCAAAAGAACTGTAGGTGGGCCATCAATAGTGGCAACCTGGATTTCTACGCTATGCCAACTAAATTCTGAAAAGATAGAAACTTGGCTTATGCTGGGAAACGACAGGAAGATTAAATGTCTCAAAATGTTTCAGAACTTTTGCCTTTGAAATAACAACTGATATTCCCCTCCCTATTTCCCCAGTCCTCACCTCTTAATCTACGTGGACCCTTTAGTTTATTCAAAAGCATGACAATTTGTTTCAATATCCAACTATCAGTAAATAATATAAAAATTTTTGTTTAACTTGCAGAGTCTATTTTTCAAAGGCCATAGTAAGCAGATGAAATCTGAACAACTGCATTCATCTGACAATGCAAGTGGACAGCTTCGTGTCTCATCACCTGAAGCGAGGGAACAGTATGAAAAGCTTTGCTCAGACCATCTTAACACTATCACTTACATAATCAAGAGGTTGAAAGAGTGGAAGAGAGGACTGTCATCCTCATGATCCAACTTAAGGGCAATTTAATGTGATTATTTAAGGCGGCACCAGTCCTCAGAATGTGGAGTGAACATCTAAGAACATGTCACATCCTCTACCATATTCGAGTCCTCTCCTACAACAGGAATTAACCATAGGAAGTGTCTTCTTCAGGAACTGTCTCATGTCAAGTTGCAGTAAGGAGACACTGGTGCATGTAATCCATGAGGTTTTTCTCTCTACTGGTATGTCCTATCCCACAGAATGCATGATTAACAGTTTACCTCCATCTGTTTTCCAGATGGGGTCTTGGGATTTCTGGTTCAAGTTTTCCCTGGGGGAAAGTCTCCTAGTCTAACTAGAAAACTTAACTAATGCAATGATCTAGTTAAAAATGCTATTTTCATCCAAAAAGTATTTGTGAACTTTTCAAGTTTTTGTTAACTTCTAAGAACTTAGAAATACTATGAAACATTTGGAAAGATTCTCTCTCTCTCATTCTCCCCTCTCCCCCTCCGTCCCACACTGTGAACTTGAATACAGACTGTATTTGAGATACTGGGATCCTGATTTTGAGAATCAAGTGGACAAAGGCAAGCAGCAGGTCAAAGATCCCCCAAAACAGCCAGATATTAAAATAAACAAAAATAGGATTTAAGTGTAAATTGGGTGATCAGTATAAAAATTTTAAAATTTTTAAAAAACCCCAAAATTCATGTGCTGTGAATCAATTCCATTTGTAAGATTTAATTCTAATGAGATAACTGGGAAATGATTAAAAAAAAAATAAATCAGGGATGGTCATTGTTGTTGTTAGGTGCCATAAAGCAGAGTACAACTCACAGCCACCGGACAAACAACAGATCTGCTCCAGGCTCATAATCTCTGAGACACTCGAGCCCACTGCTGCAGTCACTGTGTCAATCCACCTGGTTGACAGTCTTCCTTTCCTTTGCTCTCTCTTCACCTTTCCAAGCATATGTCCCTCTCTAAAGAATAGCCCCTCCAAGGAACATGCATGTATGTGAGACAGAGTGTTACCATACTGCCTCCAAGAAACACTGAGATGGTCACTAGAAGTGCTTAAATAAATCAAGGCCTAGCTCCCCCGACCCCCTCAAAAAAAGGATACTGTGTGATCACTAAAAACCGTAATGGTACATCATATCATGGAAAACAGCTTGCATATGCTTAAGAAGTTGGAAAAAGAAACCAATATAAAATTTTTAAAAAGTTGGAAAAAGAAATGTTTTGGTCCAGCAAGCACATGACTATTATGTAACCTAAGGGAAAAAAAAGAAAAGGAAGACACAGAGAGGTATGTAAGAGAAAGCGCCAACAGCAGGCATAGATGCAGAGACAGGCAAGATGAATGGATTCGAGGAGGTAAAAAGGACTACACTCATGACCATACACAGGTTTGGCAGATGGTATTTCTACATTTAACAAAGTATATGTTGTAAATACAACCATCTATATAGCAAAGCCAACAGGGGAAAATGCTTTGTAAGCTTCTTAACCATAACCAAACACCCGGACGGAATGAACTGCTGGTTCTGAGGTCTTGGGACCACTACTGGAAGACATTAAAGTCAATAGGCACAACACTGTCCATAAGACAATGTTCTACATCCTACTTCAAGTAGTGACTGGACTCTTAAAAGCAGCCCTCCACGGTGCTACTACTGGTCTCTCCCTGTCTGAATCAAAGAGGAGGGAAGAAAAAGCAAAGATGTACTCAAACAATTAGTTCAAAAAGACTTCAGGACCACATCAACCTCAACTTGTACAACCATGAGACCAGAAGAACTAGAAGATGCCTCACTACCGCAGTTGACCACTTTAGAAGAGCTTATAATAGTAGAAGATTAAGAATAAGTGGGAGGAAATGTGGGGCAAAACTAAAAAAAAGGAAAAGAAACACCACAACAAGATAAAGGTAAATAACCCAATTAAAAAATGGGCACAGGATATGAACAGACACTTCACCAAAAAAGACATTCAGATGGCGAACAAACACAGGAAGAATGTTCAAAATCCCTAGCTCTAAGAGAGATGCAAATCAAAACAACTATGAGATATCATCTCACCCAGTAAGAATAGCAAAATTTAGCAGAACAGCAAACATCAAATGCTGGTGAGGTTGCAGAGAAACTGGAACCCTTCACTATTGGTGGCAGTGTAAAATGGTGCAACCACTATGGAAGGCTGTATGGTACTTTCTCAAAAAACTGCAAATAGAGATACCATTTGACCCATCAATTCCACAGCTGGGAATTTACCCTAAAGAAACCGTAACTGCCATCCAAGCAGATATATGCACACCCATGTTTATTGCGGCTTTGTTCACAATAGCAAAGAGCTGGAAACAACCCAAGTGCCTATCAACAAGCGAACAGATAGAAAAGCTCTGGTATATTCACACAATGGAATATTATGCAGAATTGAAAAACAAGGAACTCATGAAATATTATGCAAAATGGATGACCCTGGAAGACATTATGCTGAGTGAAATATCTCAGTCACAAAAGGACAAATATTGCATAGAGCCACTGTTTTAAAACGGGACATCAGGGTTGAGGGAAGACAGAAAAGGAGGGGAGGAATGATGTATATTGCATTGAAACAGATGAGGGAAAGAACTGTTTACAAAGGATATATGAATGGGTATTCTTGTCATTACAGAAGTCCAGAGTGAAGGCTGCATAATGGAGTGGACTTGGGGGGGAGGGACTGTATAACAATGAAAGAATTTTTCTTTCTTTTCAAGGAGAAGAGTGAATTGGGGGGAGTGGGGAAGTAGGGAGAAAAGTCCAACAATGAATAACTGGAAACCCTAAGTCTCTGTACACTTTCATTAAAATTAATGAAAAAGAAAAAATATCCAATAATAAAAAAGAAAAGAGAGAAAAACAACCAGCCAACCAACCAGACTTACTGTTTCAATAGAGACTGGTAGAGTCTCCTCTAAGGCTGTGGCTCTCAGTCACCTTTCATACTTGGGACAACACTCATCTCCACAGTCTAGTGTAAGCCAAACAGCAAACAGGCCTATGTGACCAGAGAGGAGCTCATTCCTTAGAATAACCAACCAAATAAGGTCAAAAAAACAGCATCTGCCCAATGATAAAGCCCTCATGACAGGAAGGGATAGGATAGAGGGATTAATGGAAATGAGAAATAAAAGATAAAGTAGGGAAAGTACAATTGCATTTTAAGTATTGTAATTAATGTCATAAAATAAAATGTATATAAAAAAATAACACATATATGAATGGTTAAAATAAAACCCAACAGGCTTTTTAAACATTTCACTATAATTACAAATTTCAAAAATAGATGCAACAAACAGGTGTAGGCTCACCCATGTTCATGGCATTATTCACAACAGCAAAGAGACAGAAACATCCAAAGTGCTTATCAATGTTGTTGTTGTTATAGTCGCCAAGTCGCTTGTGACTCATAATTACCCTATGTATAACAGCTCTGAACCCTGCTCTATCCTGAATCAATTTCATTGTCTCCTACACACCTACCCCCATTACCCTAGGCACTGAGTCAATCCATCTCATACAGGGTCTTCCTTTCTTACGCTGTACCTCTACCTTTCCAAGCATGATGTCCCTTTCTTAAGGAATGGTCCTTCCGGAAACATACCAAGTTACTGTGAGAAGTATGAGATAGAGCTTAAAATTCTTTCTTCAAGGAGTAGCCTGGTTCCACCCTCTCATGACAGACCTGTTTGTTTTCTAGCAGTATATAGTATGTTCAAGATTCTTCTCCAGCACCACAACTCAAGGGCATCAATTCTTTTTCTATCATCTTTAGACACTGTCCAGATCTCTGTTGTATAGCAAGTAATTATGAAGACCATGGCTTGGGTCAGGGGCACCTTAGTCTCTAGACTAACACTGTTGTTCTTTGATGAATGGATAAATACACACAATGAAATACAATGCAATCTTAAAGAATAAGGAAGAATTTTTGAAACATCACATAACATAGATGGATCTTCAGGATA